CTTTTCTCTCTTAATGTTTATAGGGTTCTGTAATTCTAGACTGCAAAAATGAACAAGTTCCAGTTAGCACTACCCATATATTTTAAGATTTTATATGTAAAATAATTCCTTCTGGCAACTTTTGCCATTAAGTTTGGACAGCTACATTAGAAAGATAATGAGCTAAAAAGAAAAAAAAATTCCCTGAGCTACCCTTTTTTATATTTAATAGTCAAATCCAGTGCTTACCAGGGACATGAAGAAGACAAAGGCAAAAAAAAAAAAATCCCTATTTATAAAGGCTAAATTTTTAGCTAAGAATATTTGTTAAATTTAACAAAATTCTCTGTTTCAAGAAGTTTTGTTGCTTTTTCCTTAATCTTGAACAATCATCATCAATGAAATCTGCCACCTCCATATAAAACATTTATACTCCTTAAGAATTTTCCCTAAACTCTGTAACAATAAACTCAATTACCTAGTTCTATACATTCCTAAATGTTAGGGAGGCTTATTACAATCTGTAGATTTATAATTTAGAAATTTATTTTGGTTCCACATGAGTAAGAACAATTGGTTCTTATTTTAAAAACTATGATTATGTTTGCTGGAAGTATAGAAGCATATTAGCCTCTGTTCCTATCAGTACAGGGGAAATTTTTATGTCAAGGCTATCATTTCTTACCTCTTGTTTTTATTTTCTTGGTGATTTGTAAAATCACCACTGTTTTTAACCAGTCCCTCTGATTCCAGGCTTTTTTTTTCCTGCTTTCCATGTCCGTTTCCAGATCATTGATCCTGAATAGATTGTTTCTAGTTTCTGTGAATACAAATACTCTGAGTTCTATAAATGGCAGTATCCACAAGCAATCATTTCATGCAGCTTCATACTGCTACTTAGAATTATGCATAAAGTAGCATAACAGCACTGTTCTATTTCAAATTTTTGAGAAAATATAGCAATACTCTTTTTAATATTTTACCCTAAGCTATATTTTGTACACGCCTTACAGAAATCTTTTAGATATTTTTGCTATATATATAACCATCCAATTTGGATTGTCCTCTTTGTGGACCTGATTTTGTGGTTTGGGGCTTGATGCATTATTTCTACGTGGCTTTCCCTTTGATGTGCACCACTAGGAGTATTCCAGTGTTCCTTAACCAATGTTGTCTTCAGATTCTTGCCTAGGGTGAGACAGATTCACAGCCTAATTCTACCAGACACCCAAAGAAGAATGGATACCAATCCTACTGAAACTATTTCAAAAGATGGAGAAGGAGGAATTTCTCCCTAGATAGACTGGATAAAGAAAATGTGTCACATATACACCATAGAATGCTATGCAGTCATGAAAAAAGATGAGTCCATGTCCTTTTTCAGGGACATGGATGAAGCTGGAAACACTTTTCTCAGCAAATTGACACAAGAACAGAAAACCAAACACTGCATGTTCTCACTCATAAGTGGGTGTTGAACAATAAGAACACATGGACACATGGAGGGAAACATCACACACTGGGGCCTGTGGAAGGTGGGGGATTGGGGAGGGATAAGATTAGGAGAAATACCTAATGTAGTTGACAACATGGCATGTGTATACCTATGTAACAACCCTGCACAATCTGAACATGTACCCCAGAACTTAAAGTATAACTAAAATAAAAAAAGAAAACTATAGACTAATATAGCTAATGAAAATAGATGCAAAATCCTCAACAAAATACTAGCAAACTAAATCCAATAGCACATCAAAAAACATAATTCTCCATGATAGGTGGTTTTCACGCCAGGGACGCTGGGATGTCTCAACAAACATAAGTCACTAAATGTGATTCATCACATTAACAGAGTTAAAAACAAAAACCACAATAATCTCAATAGATAAAGAAAAAGCATTCAATAAAATCCAGCATCCCTTTACAATGAAAACTTTCAATACAGTAGACATAGAAGAAACATACCTCAAAATAATAAAAGCCATATATGCAAACATCTCTTCGAAAAGCTTATATTCTTATATTTTGGTATATACCCAGCAGTGAGATTTCTGAATCTTATGGTGGTTGTACTTTTAGTGTCTTAAAGAATGTTCAGGCTGTTTTCCAAAATGGCTTTACTACTTTATATTCCCACCAACAGCGTATAAGGGCTCCCCTTTCTCCTCATCCTCACCAGCATCCAATTTTTGTGTGTTTTTTTGATAAAAGCCATTTTAACTGGGGTGAGATGATATCTCCTTGTCATTTTGATTTGCATTTCCCAGATGACGAGTGATGCTAAGCCTTTTTTCATATACCCATTGGCCATTTGTATGTCATCTTCTAAGAAATGTCTGTTGAGATATTTTGCTCATTTTTAAATTGAATCATTTGGCTTTTTGCAATTGAGTTGTTTGAGCTCCTGTTTATTAATCCCTTGGCAGCTGACTGTATTTTCTATATCCAATAATTTGTAAGCAAGAAATACATTTTCTATATGAATATTTATGAGCAAAATGTAAGCCTTATTTCTCATTTAAGCATGTTTTTGCAATTTGTGTGTCCCTTGGCCCATGCTTTCAAGATTATACTTTAAAAGACAGAGTAACTATTGATGGCATGAGCCCTCTGTCAACTATTTTCAATATTTCATCATTAAAAATTTTCAAATATGGGGAAAATTTTAAAGAATATTACAATAGGTTCTCAAAAACAGCTTAGATTGTATCATTAAAATATCTGCATTATCTGCATTGTCACATCTGCCACTATAATATGTCTATATCGTTCTAATAATTTCATTTTAATTTTGATGTGTTTTAATTAATTCATGTAATTCAGAGACAATTTTTTAGATTTTTATAGTAAAACATACATAGAATTAGATAAATCTTAAAAATTTATTTTCTGAGCTTTGACAAATGCATTCGCTAATGTAACACTAAAATATACAACATTACAATCACCCAGAATGTACCCTCATGCCTCTTTACAGTGTGGCATGACATAAAGGCTAAGATTAATTTTATTTTCTGTCACATATGGATACTGAATTATTCCTGTAGCAATTGTTTAAAAGACCCCTTTTCCCATCAGATTGCCTTGGCATCATTATTTAAAATCAAATGAATATATCATTTGAATCTATTTCTGGACTCCCTAGCCTTTTCAAATTATCCACGTGTAGCTCCTATGCCAATGCCACATTGTCTTTATTATTGAAGCTTTATAGTAAGCCTTGAAATGATATAAAATTTTATAATATTGCTTTGGCATTTCTGTAATATCTACATTTTATAATCAACCGGTCAATTTCTATTTAAGAAGGCCCACTAGAATGTGACTCTAATTTTGTTGAATCTATTATAATATGTTGGAAAACTCACATCTCAACCATATTACATCTTCCAATCAATGAGCATACCTCTGTACAAAACTTGTCTTCTTTTAAGATCTTCAGTATATTTGGTAGCATGTGGTATAGAAGTCTTTCACATACTTTTTAATTTTTCTGTATGTCTTATTTTTATAGGTTTCTTATATAATCCCACTACTAACAGACAATATATCATGTATAGACTCAGTCATTTTAAATGTTTGGGATTTGTTTATATTTTCCATATAGATTATCTTAATGAACATTCCATATGGATTTTAAAAGCTAACCAAAAACAAGGTTAAGAAGGATGATTTGTCATCTATGCTTGAGATTGTAGATTACCTTTGTGACATTGTTTCTATAGAAACATAAAATTTAAATGTGCACTGAAATGAGTGAAATGCGACTAAAAATAAAGAAAATATAAATAATATTAAGCATAGTTTCAAAAAAATTGATGATATGAATTATTTATATTTATCTCATGTTATCATTTCCATTTTTTTCTGAAGTATCTATCACTCATTTAACAAACATTTTTAAACTGATCTAGTATTTCCATTCATTCTGACCAAATTTTGAAAAACAACTTGACATATGCCTAACTTTAAGTTTCTAAAAAGTAAGCTTGTTAAATTATTGGTGGTGGTTGTTTCTAAAAATTAATTGATATAATGACTAACTGAAATATTCCCCTCAACTGAGAATTATGGATTTATGGTTCCAGTATAACACAAAATCTCTAATGTTTGGACTATGATGGTTAAGAGTTCAAAAAATAAAAGTTTGACTTACACAAATAGAAGTTCTTCATTATTTTATTTATTTAAAGAAAAAATATTCTTTCAGATGATAAACTGAAAATATTCCAGCCTCCCAAAATGTCCTTCTACATACCACTTTTGATATAGGATTAATGGATTTATATACTCACTCATGATTATTGTATCTTAGGTTAAATATTCATGCTATAGATCTTTCCAATTTTTTTTTTAATATGCTATGTGTTGGCAATTTAATGTTACATTTCCAAGACTTGCAGTTCTTTCTTTGGACTATGTAGCAGTGATAAAATAAAAAAAGTAAGTGCCGTGATATACATTTAGAAAAGTATTGGATTGAACCCAGAAAAAAAGTCAAATACTAACTTTGGTACTAATCAACATGTGATTTTGGTTGAGATGCATATTTCCGGTATTTTGTTTTCACAATAGAGATTAATGGAATATTTCTAAATGTTTTAAAGATTATATAATGTGATACATATGAAAGTCTCTATGTCAGAAATAACAGAGCATAGTAATCTGTAGGGAATCCACAAGCCCCATATATTGGGCACCAGAATGTAGGGAGCCAGCCCTATATCACACATGGGTACTCTGAGTTGGGTGGTGACAAAGACAGACAGATTAAGAGAGATAGTGGGACCAGGAGGCCATCACTCATTATTTTGGAGGAGACAGTGAAGAGCCTGAGCTCTGGTCATCCACTCTACTTATTGGTTACAATCACTTTGATCTACAGAGTAGTGGTGGAGTAATGGTGGAGAGAGGGTGATGGGAGTGAATCAGTGAGCTGGAACTGAATCGGTGAACTATAACTGGTGTGTCATTCTAAGGATTGATATCAGTGGTGGTTTGGGAGTTTCACAAAACAGAACATGTGGTTATCTTTAGCTTATTATCTATGCACAGCTGATGGAATGCAAACCTTACAAGGAGCCTACAAGTCTGGCTGTGTCATAGTGCTACAAAGGGGTTTTACATCCTTCAGCACAATGTTTATGGTAAAAGAGCCAAGGTCACCCTGCACTGGAACATGAGGCATGAAGAGGCCTTCCTCCTCAGAGGCCTCCTGTGGCTTTCCATGGTTTGTTGTTCCTTGTTTATATGTTACTTACAACCAATTTATGTAGGCACTCTGTAAGTCCTTTCTCCTTTGCTGCTTTTTCCAACAATTACCCTTTTCTCAATAAAGGTCTTTAGGCTATTAATATTTGCCAGTTAATTCTGAAATTATATCAATGAGCTAGATAACTAATTATTTAAGCATTCTGTAACCCATTTAAAGGAGTTCTGCCAACTGACACATATCATTTCCAGACATGTAGAGAAACTGAAACTTTCAGAACACAAGGGTAATGGCTGCTAATTTATTTGTACTTTAGCCTTTATATATTCGCTATCTAGAGGAATTAATGTTATTCTAATAACGTGAAAGCATAAATCATTCCCTCTAAATTGATATGACAAAATTTTTTAAAAGCTGGAAAGCATAGTTTGTCTTTTTCACTTTCTTGCCTTTATTCTTAATGACTAGAAATTTATCTATCAATATAAATAAAAGATGACCTTATTGAAAAAAAATTGTTACTCTGTGTTTTTAAAATTTCTGTATTTCTTTCTTTCTTTCAATAAGATCTTTATAATGATGTATGTGTGTGTGTGCAAGTGTATGTACATGCATATGTATACATGTTGTATGTATATATAATGCATTTGTATACATATGGAAATACACAGAGATATTAGTATTACATATGTTCCACAAGAAGAAATTGACTTATTTGAAGAAGTGAGTCATCTTAAGATTTATGCTGTTATAACCTATAAATATTCTTATGTATATAAATTACTGATGAACAAAAGTTATATCCATGAATCATCTCTCCTGTCCAGTAAAATTTTTGACATTGTTTAATGTACTAATATTTGGGGAAAACATTTCTGTTCTACATTTTTCTAGTTTAAAAAATATTAATTCTAAAAGTAGTATTTTTGTACTTAAAGAGTTACATATTAGACCTATACAGTTAAGGACTCTCAGTAAGACACCAGGACTAATATCTAAAAACAATGCTCATTTGGATCAAAATAATATAAAATACTTATTAAAGCCAAAAGTCTATGTACTTGATAGAAAAAAGCATCCATAATTCAGCGTAAGAATTATTACTCTTAAATATATTTGTTGTAGCATATTCATGACTCCAGTGTACTAAACCTCTGAAAATAATCTCTACCCAAATGCCACAGAGGTTGATATTATTTGGAATATGCTCTTACCTAGCTCTGAATATTTTAACTTACTATATTGTTAAAACCTATGAGTAAACTTTTTTCTTCTTCCTATAGTTAACCTAAGTACATGGAAATGACAGCAAGGGAGAAAACTCCTGAAAATAAAAAAGCTAGCCCTAAAAGGGTAGGATTTTAAGAAAATCAACAGCATACAATGGCCAGAATAAACTAACTACAAAAATAACATTGATTATTTGTAAGCAAACATGTGCCTTAAATTATCTGTAAACTCGCCAGTTTTTAAAAGATCATTAGAGTATAGGGAGGGAAGTATGCAGATATAAATTTACAGCTGGTGAAGGATTAAATGCATCATGGGTCTGTTTGAAATGACTAACTAATCCTTTGATTTGTTAGGTAATGGTAGGTTATGTTGTAATATATTATCAAATCTCACAAGCTTCACACAGTAAAATTTACATCTTAACATCCCAAATCAGTAGTGAAGTTAATAGCTCTACCTCTCAAATGCAATCCTCCAAGCTCTCACATATGGCTGTGCCATTTTATCCTGTGGCCTTTACATTTGCCTCCAAGAAGACAAATAAATATGAACAGACCTATTTATACCTTTATGATTTCATCCTAAAGTGACTCCTGGCATTTCTACTCAAATTCATTGAAAGAACAAGTTACGCCCTGGCTTGCCGGGTTAGAGCGTCAGGAACAGCCTAAAGATTAGACTGTAAGAAAAGAAAATAGAAGCCGTGTTTTGAAGACCTGTATTACAGGTACTTCATCAGTTTGTAAGACATGCGTCCGAAACAGCTGCCAGTTTGATTCTTGAAAGATCCCTGAATCGTGTGCAGTTACTTGGGCAAGTGGGTCAGGACCCTGTTTTGAGACAGGTGGAAGGAAAAAATCCAGTCACAATATGTTCTCTTGCAACAAATGAGATGTGGCGATCAGGGGAAAGTGAAGCTTACCAAATGGGCGATGTCAGTCAAAAGACAACGTGGCATAGAATATCAGTATTCCGGCCAGGCCTCAGAGATGTGGCATATCAGTATGTGAGAAAGGGGTCTCGAATTTATGTGGAAGGGAAAATAGACTATGGTGAATACATGGATAAAAATAATGTGAGGCGACAAGCAACAACAATCATAGCTGATAATATTATATTTCTGAGTGACCAGACAAAAGAGAAGGAGTAGAATGGATGACTCTTCTTTGGCTATCACTTGGTACAGTCTCATTTCCAAATCATGTATAATCCTTATAGTTCCCAAGGACAAGAATTAAAATACTCTTTTACATAAAAAAAAAGAACAAGTTACACAGTTCCAAACTAATTGCAAGAGTAGCTCTGTAATGTTAAAGAATATTTAGTGACCACTAATAGTCTTAGACACATATTGTTTATTATGCTAACATTATTGTTGTTGTTATGAGTGTAGCTTTAAAAAATAAAAATTTCACCCTCATGAGCCATCCCTCTATTGCCATTTGGCTCCCATGAGTCTTTTCTAACAAGCAAGTCATCACACACAGGTATGTCTGTGTGATTGGTGGTTCTATCACCATTAAAAAATAATAATTCCGTCTCTTGTGACTTTGGTTAGTATGAATTATCTTCTAGCCACCTATTAACTCACTTGCATGCACTTAAGTCTAAAAAAAAGAAAAATTCCATTCTAAGAACCTGAGCTTGTAGCTGAGTGAAACTACTCTACTGTGTAAGACGTTGTAAAATAAAAACTCACATATCCTCACAGTTTTCTTCATAATTGTCTATGAATTCAACAATATATGATATGCTATACTCAAAATAGTGTTACAGAACCCTCAAAAGTGAATGTTCATTAATTATTCATATGTTTACAAATTTTTTTTTTGAAAACAATTTCATTCATCTCATCTTGAAAACACAATTTCACCTAAAACTTGGCATTATTTATTTGGATACAACCAACTGAGGCCCAAACTTGATTATCTTTACAGATAAGTGAATAATTGGTTTTACATATTGTATTGGGGATACAGAAAGTATTAAAAAATGATTTCATTTATCTGGCCTTAGGAGTCCATTTTTATTATAGCTTGCTATTAAAAATCCCCAGATTGTTTTCTAGCCTTTTTTTTTCATGCTTTATATAGAGGTATATGATTTTATGGTAGTGAATTTAAAGTCAATAGAAAACATATAATATTCCCAAACATGTTAAAGTGACAGATGTTTTTATAGTACATTAAAGCTAGTCTTCTTACCATTAGTTTTTTTTTTTTTTTTAACGTTTTAAATACTTGTTAAAGTATATATTAAAGTTGATGCCAGGCACCAGGAAACTGTGATAAGTTTTTACAAGTTTATAATAAAAACCAATGATAAAATGCCCTACATATAAGTAGGTAGTGGACATTTGTCACTTATTTGTAATTATATTGAAATATAATTATATATATAGTCCAGAGAGCAACAATAATTTTAATGCAAAAGTGTAAATACAACCTAGAAGTTGATTTTGGTTTTTAATGCAACCAATTATTGAAAGAATGCCTGATTGAGAAAAGCTTCTGTAGCTATTGTTGTTCTAGTTCACATTTATTGTAGATATATTATGTATCAGTCACTATACTAAAACCTTTCTGAGCATTAACTTATTTCATATACTAGACTTTCCATATAATAAAGAGAAATAATCGTATGCTTATGGCAATGTATATATTATGAGCATGTATATTTCTGTCTAAAAACTACCGTAGACTGACTTATAAAGATCAGAAATGTATTTCTCACAGCTCTTGAGCCTAGGAAGTCCATGAATTTGTTATTTCTAGAAGCCACCAGTAGATTTGATGTCTTGTGAGGGCCTGCTTCTTGGTTCATATACCAGGTGGAATGAGAGTGGTGTTTCTTGTGCCTTTTATAAGGGCCTCTTATTTTTTGAATTGAGCAAAAAAAGTAGCAATATGCTGGGCAGTGGTGAGTGCTAATTTGAAATTATGATCTTAAACTTATTTCCAAATACTCAAATATTCTAATATTTAAATATTAGATTAGTTGGTAGCACTATAAGTTTAGGAATAACGCTTGGCTGATAGGGTGCTTACTGATCTAAAGTGATATATTGGAAATAGTCAAGGTTAGGGTGAAATTAAAATGTAAAGGAAAAGATGTTCATAAATGGATCACTTTTATGAGGGCTCTTCTCTCATGACCTAATCAACTTGCTAAAGACCCTTTTGCGTTAAGATTTTAACATATGCATTTGTTAGTTTGGGTATAAAAACTTTCAGTTTATAACAACTTACTAGCTGCCTGAGCATACTCTTAAGCTACTCTGCCACTAACCACTCCTCAGTGACAATTAAGCAGGTCTCTTACACATTTCTTCAAGATTTTGGCTTAAATCATCTGAACTCACTTTTTATATCACATATAGCAATTTCACATGGAACCCAATGAATGAAAGAGATGAGAGTTCTGACAGAAATCAACTTTCTTTTGCCTGCTGTGTTGGCTCCTGTCCAACTGCTTGAAAATTAGTATTTAGAATACTGATTACATTAATTCCAAGAAGGAACTCTAGTGAATTCTCCCTTTTTGAATGAAGAAGAGAATTATGTTTTTCTGCCGAAAACAACCCTGCTAACAGAGAAAAATAAAATAGCATAGAAATTAACTGCAGACACTTTTTTAATGATTCATTCAACTTTCTGACAGCCAAATTGAGATGGCTTTAGAAAAACCTGTGGCTAAGAAAATGAGTTTATTTTTTTATTTCTTAAAATATTGAAACACATATGATTTAATTTAAATGTATTTACTTCACTGTATTTTGCTTAATAGAAGATAAAAATTACAAAGTAGTCTTACTCATTTCTTTTCTTTTTCCATTTATTTATTTTATTGCATTTTAGGTTTTGGGGTACATGTGAAGAACATGCCAGATTATTGCATAGGTACACACATGGCAGTGTGATTTGCTGTCTTCCTCCCCATCACCTACATCTGGCATCTCTCCCCTTGCTATCTCCCCCAGCTCCCCACACCCCACTGTCCCTCCCCTATTTCCCCCCAACTGACCCCAGTGTGTAGTGGTCCCCTCCCTGTGTCCATGTGTTCTCATTGTTCAACACCCACCTATGAGTAGGAACATGCAGTGTTTGATCTTCTGTTCTTCTGTCAGTTTGCTGAGAATGATGGTTTCCAGGTTCATCCATGTCCCTACAAAGGACACAAGCTCATCGTTTTTGATGGCTGCATAATATTCCATGGTGTATATGTGCCACATTTTCCCTATCCAGTCTATTATCAATGGGAATTAGGGTTGGTTCCAGGTCTTTGCTATTGTAAACAGTGCTGCAATGAACATTCGTGTGCACGTGTCCTCATAGTAGAACGATTTATAATCCTTTGGGTATATACCCAGTAATGGGATTGCTGGGTCAAATGGAATTTCTATTTCTAGGTCCTTGAGGAATTGCCACACTGTCTTCCACAATGGTTGAACTAATTTACACTCCCACCAACAGTGCAAAAGTGTTCCTATTTCTCCACATCCTCTCCAGCATCTGTTGTCTCCAGATTTTTTAATGATCGCCATTCTAACTGACATGAGATGGTATCTCAATGTAGTTTTGATTTGCATTTCTCTGATGACCAGTGATGATGAGCATTTTTTCATATGTTTGTTGGCCTCATGTATGTCTTCTTTTGTAAAGTGTCTGTTCGTATCCTTTGCCCACTTTTGAACGGGCTTGTTAGTTTTTTCCTTGTAAATCTGTTTTAGTTATTTGTAAATTCTGGATATCAGCCCTTTGTCAGATGGGTAAACTGTAAAAATTTTTTCCCATTCTGTTGGTTGCTGATTTGCTCTAATGACTGTTTCTTTGGCTGTGCAGAAACTGTGGAGTCTGACTAGGTCCCATTTGTCTATTTTGGCTTTTGTTGTCAATGCTTTTGGTGTTTTGGTCATGAAGTCCTTGCCTACACCTATGTCCTGAATGGTTTTGCCTAGATTTTCTTCTAGGGTTTTTATGGTGTTAGGTCTTATGTTTAAGTCTTTAATCCATCTGGAGTTAATTTTAGTGTAAGGTGTCAGGAAAGGGTCCAGTTTCTGCTTTTTGCACATGGCTAGCCAGCTTTCCCAACACCATTTATTGAATAGGAAATCCTTTCCCCATTGCTTGTCTTTGTCTGGTTTGTCAAAGATCAGATGTTTGTAGATATATTCTGTTGCCTCTGAGACCTCTGTCTGTTCCATTGGTCTATATCTCTGTTTTGGTACCGGTACCATGCTGTTTTGATTACTGTAGCCTTGTAGTATAGTTTGAAGTCTGGTAGTGTGATGCCTCCCGCTATGTTCTTTTTGCTCAGAATTGACTTGGCTATGCGGGCTCTCTTTTGGTTCCATATGAAGTTTAAGGTGGTTTTTTCCAGTTCTGTGAAGAAGGTCATTGGTAGCTTGATGGGCATAGCATTGAATCGGTAAATTACTTTGGGCAGTATGGCCATTTTCAAGATATTGATTCTTCCTAACCATGAACATGGAATGTTTCTCCATCTGTTTGTGCCTTCTCTTATTTCACTGAGCAGTGGCTTGTAGTTCTCCTTGAAGAGGTCCTTTACGTTCCTTGTTAGTTGTATTCCTAGGTATTTTATTCTCTTTGTGGCAATTGTGAATGGCAGTTTGTTCTTGATTTGGCTCTCTTTAAGTCTGTTATTTGTGTATAGGAATGCATGTGATTTTTGCACATTGATTTTGTATCCTGAGACTTTGCTGAACTTGCTTATCAGTTTCAGGAGGTTTGGGGCTGAGACGATGGGGTCTTCTAGATATACAATCATGTCATCTGCAAATAGAGACAATTTGACTTCCTCCTTTCCTATTTGAATGCCCTTTATTTCGTTTCCTTGCCTGATTGCTCTGGCTAGAACTTCTAGTACTATACTGAATAGGAGTGGTGAGAGAGGGCATCCTTGTCTGGTGTCACATTTCAAGGGGAATGCTTCCAGTTTTTGCCCATTCAGTATGATATTGGCTGTTGGTTTGTCATAAATAGCTTTTATTATTTTGACATACGTTCTGTCAATACCTAGCTTATTGAGGGTTTTTAGCATAAAGGGCTGTTGAATTTCGCCAAAGGCCTTATCTGCATCAATTGAGATAATCATGTGGTTTTTGTCTTTGGTTCTGTTTATGTGGTGAATTATGTTTATAGACTTGTGTACGTTGAACCAACCTTGCATCCCTGGAATGAAGCCAACTTGATCATGGTGGATAAGCTTTTTGATGTGCTGTTGCAATCGGCT